TCTGTTTGTGTTGTCTGTAGGAATGTTGCCTCTCACACCACAATGGGGTGGCTGTTCGTCAAAATTGCTTGGCTTGTTTTGATGAACTCAAAAGCTTTCTAGAGCCTGTATGTAGGGCAGACAATGCTTGTGCTGCTGATCTTGAACAAATGCTCCATGGTCCCCCCAGTTGACATATCTTGTAGGGCATGTTTTACTAAGAGGTACTTGTCCTTTGTAGTTCTTGGTGAATCAGTTACCTCAGACATTTATTGCATATTTACTATATTATGAGCTAATGTTTAATCAAATGGAACATAATCTGTATGTCATAAATTGTACCCATTTCCATCTTCATTTATGCCACCTTTGTACCTCAATAAGGAGGCTTCCCCCTTCCGGTTTTGTGTCATAGGTGAAGGACGGCTCTCCATGCATTTAGATTGTAATGATCCAGAGAAAGACTGGGGTCTTTCTCTGGATCAAAGCCGGGAATGTGAGAAATAATTCATTTGGGCTACCACTCTATTCCAATGAGTATCAATCAATTTGATATGATTCCATAGGGTAGTGATTATGAGTTTGATATATTAGGCCCTAGAGCTGTGAGCTGCAGATTGTAAATTCACTTGCTTAATCATAGAAAGCTAACTGGAGGACCTCCACCCTTGTTTTGCCTTGTCATGGTGACCAAGCCCAGTGTGGCAGAGGTGACTCAGTTACATAGAAAGTCTTCCAACTTATTTTGCACCTGCAGGATCTCTCTCTTGTCCGACATGAGCAAGTGACCATCTTATGATCACTTAGTCAGTGGAGATTCCCCATGCTTTGCCCAACTTGCGACCTACCCCCACTGGTATGTCATTTTTGGCCCTCAAAAGCAGGGTTTATCAACCAATGAGATTCTGTATTTCACCATGCCTCTTTTGTGTATTTGGGTATCAAACTCTATAAATACAAGGTGCTGGAAGAAGGGGACATCTCAGATGGTGAGGAAGATCTGAGGTCCACTTCATTAGAAGGGACATTGTACCATTTAATAAAGTGCTGTTGGCTCAAAGCTCTGCCTCAGTCTCTTTTATTGTAGGTTAATTCCCACACGAAATCACAATAACTCCTATAGCCAGAGATCTTAGGGTAGGAAGCCTTTCCCAGGGCATCGTTGTGAAATAAGTAAACAGGCAAGTCCCCACGTTACCAATAAGGAGCTTTTACAGGTTAGGAGCCACTGGTTCTTGGGTAGAAATAAGGGGAAACCTTGGAGAAAGGGACCATCGCTTCCCTCCCAATCCTAAAAACCCCTTTGTGATTAAAGGAGGGGAAATCAGGCACGGTTTGACATGCAGCCTAGATTTCAGGGTCTTTAGAGGACAGATAGAGAGGATCCCAAGCACCCAAATTCTGCAAGGAAAATCAACCAAGGAAAACCGGAAGCCGTCAAACATTAAATTATTCTGGGACCAGGCATGGTGATATACACCATGGTATGTAGGACAATGGTATTCCACTTCCATGCCTTTTAGTGACCCCCAGGGAAAGATTTCTGGCTCCCACAGGAACCTTGTTAGGTGTTAGAGCTTGTGGGAAGAGATGAGGAGGTGAGAGTGGTGGGGATTTCTAGCTCATTCTAGGTAGAGAGGTCAGTAAGAACAAAGGCACAGAGGTGGGACGAGGGCTCAGATAAGAGCAAACACTAGTGCCTAGTCTTATTTGGCTGGGAAATAGGTGTAGTGACCCCTCTGGGCTACTTGCCTCCCACCAAATTGCATTTGCAGTTTGGGTCACTCCAGTGATGACCAATCCAGGTTCAAGGTACATTGTGGGTTCATATTGCTAAGACTGTAACTCATGAGCCCCCACTAGTGTGTGTTTATCTTTAATAGTCAGCTAGTTGACAAAGTTAGCTCAAAGCAAAGATATTTTTAAAATGGCACGGCATGAATAAGTGTTTCAAAGCATACCCCCCATAAAACTGAAGTGCCCTCTCCGACAAATACAGACTGTCAGTGGAAAGAGTAATCACAGATATAGTGTACTCCAGTAGGGAGGCAAACACAGAAGAAATACATGTGGTCAAGGCAACTTATACCATAAATCCTGAAGAAATCTAAATGTCTTTGAGCTCCCTTGGTTTTCTTCTTGATGGGAGAAATATTTGTACTTTAAAGTTATACTGCTTTTTCTTGGACATGGCATCTCTTAAAGGGTGAATCTAGCAACTAAATGGTGCAGTGCACTGAGTACTGGTCCTAGAGTCAGGAACAGATGAGTTCAAATCCAGCCTTAGAGACTTATTAGCTGTGTGGCCCTTGGCAAGTTATTTAACCTCTGTTTGCCTCAGTTTCCCCAATTGCAAAATGTGGATAATAACAGTATTTCCCAGAGTTTTTGTGAGGATTAAATGAGATAATATTTGTACATTGCCTAGGACAGAGTAGGCGCTGAATAAATGTTTGTTTTTATTAATTTTTTTTTAATCGTTCTACTGTGAGATTCCATTGCTGATGCCATGGGGGAGAAAGAGAAAGAAATTTCACTGGTGTACATTGGAAAATGGGCTATGGAAAAAATGAAAAGAGAGCAGGAATCTTCCTCTCTATAGGTATCTGTCTTTTCACCTGCCAGACATAACTTTCTCAGAGCTGGTTTGTACTTTTTAAGGCCACATCAGAGGTATGACTGATCTTTCAGCCGTCTAATGGCTAGCCACCCTACAACTCAATCAACTTGATGAAAGACATTCTTAACACATCCTAAAATAGCTAAGAAATATAAGTATTTCTCTGCATTGACTCATACAAGTCTGTAAAGAGAAAACTTACAAGGTACAAATAGGTCACTACCAGCTTTACCCCCTCTAAGTCTGTGAATAGATCACTTCACTGTCCTCAGCTGGTATGAGCCACTCAAAGTTTTATGCTCTTTGGAAGCTGCAGATGTAACACCTCGACATCTGAAAGAAGTAATTGTTCCATTACCTGACCATTTCATCTTATAATTTCCTCAAATGGCTTTGGGGAAATGCAAATGGTGAAGGGTCCCCTGATCAACCCCTTCTCCATAAAATGCTTCAAGGGGAGTATTAGGAAGTAAAGCTTGGCAGGCAGGTTGGAGGCAGATTGGGCCTGGCCTTCCATGCTGGTCAGGAGCTTAGGCCTAATTCAGTAGACAGTGGGGAGCTACAGAAGGTATACCTCTCTGCATGTCTGTCTGTCCCTTGCAGATGTCCTGCAATTTGACAACACCTACAGTCTGGTCCACTCCAAGAAGGTCAGCTACACAGTGGAAGTTTTACTCCCTGACAAAGCCTTTGAAGAGAAGATCCAGAAACTGTACCACCATTATACTCCTTCCAACTTTGTGTCCATTACTTGGTTCTGACTTTTCACTCACCCCACTCTGGATCCTTTTTGTCCTTTGCATTCGCCACCCAGGAGAAGTGCCATAGGATCTGCCTCTGACCAAGACACTGTGTAGGGGTTGTGAGTTGCTAAATAGTGAGATGCTTTGAGCTAACAACTATTTCTTGGTGAATGCACACAATAAATGAATGAATGAAAAACCATTTATTTAGCACCTACCATGTACCGGACATCATGTTAGACAGGATACATAAATCTAAAAACAAAATCATTCTTGCCTTCAAGAAGCTCATATAATTTTTTAAAAATATTTTTTATTTTTTCCCTATTACATGTAAAAACAATTTTTAGCATTCATTTTTTCAGAATTTTGAGTTCCAAATTCCCTTTGTTTTCTCTCCCCACATCCTCATTGAGAAGGCAGGCAATTTGATGTAGGTTATACATGTGTAGTCATGCAAAACATATTTCCATATTAGTCATGTTATGAAAGAAAACAGACTAAGGAAAAAAAAGAAAAACAAAGTAAAAAAAAAAGTATGCTCAAATCTGCATTCAGACTCTTATCAGTTCTTTCTCTGGAGGCAGGTAATGTTTTTATCATGAGTCCTTCAGATTTGTCTTGGATCATTGTATTGCTGAGAACAGGTAAGTCATTCACTGTTGATCACTGCGTTGTATCATCGTAACTACTGTTTCTGAATATGATGTTCTCTTGGTTCTGCTCAATTCACTTTGTATCAGTTCATATAAGTCTGAAAGCATTCTGCTCATCATTTCTGTTTTATTGTTATTTTTAAATATTAATTTAGTTTTAGTTTTCAACATTAACTTCCATAAGCTTTTGAGTTTTAAATTTTCTCCCCCTCCCTGCCCACCTCCCTCCCCAAGATGTCACACAATCTGATATAGGCTCTATATATACATTCCTATTAAACATATTTTCATATTAGTCATGTTATAAAGAAGAATTAGAACCAATAGGAGGAACCACAGGAAAGAATAAACAAAACAAAACAGAAGAAAAGGGAAAAAAGGGCAAATACTCTGCTTTGATCTGCATTCAACTCCATAGCTCTCTCTCTGGATGTGGATAGCATTTTCCATCACAAGACTTTTGGAGATGTCTTAGATCCTTGTGTGGTTGAGAAGAGCTAAGTCTATCAAAGTCAGTCATCGCACAGTGTGGCTGTAACTGTGTACAGTGTTCTCCTGGTTCTGCTCACATCACTCAGCATCAGGCCATACACGTCTTTCCAGGTTTTTCTGAAGTCCACCTGCTCATCATTTCTTATAGCACAATAGTGTTCCATCACAATCACATTCCACAACTTGTTCAGCCATTCCCCAGCTGATGGGCATCCTCTCAATTTCCATTTTTTGCCACCACAAAAAGAGCTGCTATAAATATTTTTGTATGTGTAGGTTCTTTTCCTTTTTTAAAAAATATCTTTGGGATGCAGACCTAGTAGTGGCATTACTGGGTCAAAGGGGATGCACAGTATTATAGCCCTTTGGGCATAATTCCAAACTGCAAAGAGTTCACATTCTACCACAGGAGATAATTGGATAGGGGAGCAGTGTCTAGAACAGGGATTTCTTTGCTTGAGGAGTCACAGGGATGGTGAGTGGAGCCAAAGGGAGCAGACTGTCAGTTTCCTCATCTGTAACATGGGATAAGAATGCCTGAGGTATCTACCTCACGCAGAACTGCTCCTGAGCCTCTCCCTCCCTAGCCCCGTCTGGGCTCTCCTGAGGTGGATGGCACCCAGCACAGTACAGTCCAGCCCAGCAGGGAGGGGACAGCCCGCCCAGGGAGGAGCAAAGGAGATGATCCCTGTCCCCACAGCCCCAGCCAAGACAAAAGGCTATTATAGCTGCCAAAGCCAGCAGAGACCCAGGAGCACAATGAGCTACAGAGTCAGAGCCCTGAGCCCTCAGCAGCAGGACGCCCTAATCCAGGTGAGCCCCGCGGCTGTCTCCCATTGCCGCCCCATCCGACAGTCACTAGGTCCTACAGAAAACAGAAGGGGTGTGCATGGGTCAAGGCGTGGGGGTGTCAGTCCTTCCTTCTTCACTGGCTGCTGCCCCAGACCGCAGATCCAGCTGAGGGGCATCACCATCTGCGGGTGCTTTAAAGTTTACAAGGAACCTTTCTTAGAACAGCCCAACGAGGAAGGCAGAATAAATGTTATTCTACCCCTTTTGCAGATGAGCAAACTGAGCTTAGAAAGAATCCTGTGCCTTTTGTCCCAATCTAGGCCCTTTCCTTATCTGTAAAATGATGGGGAGGGGGTGGTGAGTCAGCGGCCTCTGAGGTCCCTTCCAGAGCTGTGTCTTTGACCCCACGAGCAGACTCTGGAGTCTGCACTCCAGTCTGGAGGATTCCTTGAGTCGGGGCATTCCCACCCTGGTCTTGCCCAGACTCCCTTGGGGCCCAAAGCAGTCCATTGCAGGCAGGCCCTGGGTGGGGGGACGAAGGGACCCCCCTTCCTCTCTTTTCCTCTCTCCCTTGCCCTGCACGGAGCAAGCTGAGGTGGTCAGAGCAGCAGGACAGGCTACCTGGCCTAGAAGCCCCTGAGCTCTGGATTGGAGACCCGAGCCCCAGGCAAAAAAAAGCTGATCCGAGGGAGTGTAATGACCCCTCCAGGTCCTTGCAGCCCAGGAAGTAGCCCAGCCCATCACCCCATCCTACCTTCTTCTGGGAGCTCGTCCAGAGGAAAGAGCTCTGAAGCCGGAGTCAGATGGACCAGGTTCCTCCTCCTTAGCCCCGTGACCTGGGAAAAGTCCTTTCCCCTCCAGGGGCCTCAGAAGAGGATGTTGAGCTGGATGATCGCCAAGTTCCCTTCCAGTTCCAATGCTGCGCTCCTGCTCTCCCCCTTTATTCGTACACTCACAGTTCTAGAAGGGACCTTGGAGTCCATTTTATAGATGAGCAAGCTGAGACCCTGCAACATTTAAGTGACTTAGGTTGCATAGGTAGTGAGTGTCAAAGGCAAGATTTGAATCCAGGTCCTCTGACCACGTCTTTCTCTGCTTGTTCTATCACATTGCCCACTGCCCCTGCCAGATCTCGTGATCCCAGGACGGGAGGCAGGGAGAGGGCTCCAGGAAGGGCAGGGCAGGGCAGGGCAAGTTGGCACTCCTCCATTCACCACCCCCATTTTTGTTTAATATTGTCCCAGTGTTTTAAAGTTTGCAAAGCGTTTCATTCAATCCTGCAACCTGGTGAGGCAGGTGCCTGGTTATCCATAAGGAAACAGACAGAAATGTTAGTGACTTGCCCAGGGTCACCCAGTAAAGGTGTCTAAGGCAGCATTCCTCCTCTGCCACCCCTCCAGTGCTCCCTGCCAGCCAGGTGAGTAGTATACCTTCCCTTGATGAAGCTTCATCCCATGACAGCCCTGGTCTGGGGGAGAGATTGGGCCGGGGCTGCCCCTCAGGGGGCTGGAGAAAGCTGGGCTGCTTCTAGACCCCTGTCCCCTCCCCTCCCTCCCCTCACGCTCTAGCTTCCTACCTCCACAGTCTGGGAAACGGTGCCTCCTCCCTATCCCTGTGCAGGAGAGCCCCAAGGCCATGAGCCCCTCCATCCTATGCTGGGAGGGGAGAGGGAGGGCAGCCCCAGCCTGTGCCCAGCCAGCTGTGCCCTGCCCCAGCTCTTCATGGAGAGTCAGGGAGGAGTGGATGCTCCTGCCAAGAGACGCTCAGAATCTCCCCTGTTCATGCCTTACCACTCCTAGCAGTGAGGAAAAGAGCCCACATGTGGAGTCACAAGATTTCAGTTTGAAACCAGCCTCTGCCACAATGGGACCAAAGCCAATCACTTTTCCTCTCTGGGCCTCAGCTTCCTCCTCTGTAAAATAGGGGTAACATTTGCAGACCCTGCCTTGGAGGGTTCTGCAGAGAAAGCAGTTGTGAATCTTAGGGTGTATAGAAATGAGCCAAAGGACTTGGAACCCCAGCTCTGCCCCTCATCCTCTGTGTGACCTTGGGCAAGTCCTTGCCATTCTTCGAGCCTCAGTTTCCCTCCTGTACAAGGAGAAGTTTAGGGTCAATGGCCCCTAACATCCAAATCAGTGATCTCTGTGATCTTAGGCGAGTGCCCCTCTCTTGGGGGCAGGGCTCAGTTTCCTCACCTGCAAATACAGAGGCAGGTTCCAATTCAAGGCCTTGGGCTCAGCATCAATGCTCAGTGAACATTTGTGGATTTCTTCATGGCTGGGAATCAGTCTGGCGAGGGGAGACTTCTTAGCCAGGACACTGTCTCCCTAGGGGCTGGCTTCCCCCCATCCCTCTCCCAGTGAGTGCTTAGGGACCTACTATACCAGGTGATGCCTGAATTCCAGGCCTCCTCAAAGAAGTCTGGGCCCCTTTTCTTCTTACTTGGGTCCTGGTCAGGGAGGGAGAATGGGGAAAATCCAGGACTTAGAGTTGGGGCCCTGGGTTCTAGTTGAAGCTCTGCCCTTTCTTTGCTGGACGATCTTAGGTCACTTCCTCTCTGTCCCCAGACAGAGGTGTTGGGCTAGATGACCCAAGTGGGCTCCTCCCAGGTCCAAAAGTCTGTGACCAGAGCCTGCCTACCCAAGGATGGAGGCAGCCCCAGAGAGCTGCCCCGGAAGGTCCTGCTGGCCTGGACAGCCCTTCCATACGTGCCGAGTGCTGACACTGGGCAAGATGCCAGGGCTCCCCTCCGGCAATTCCTGACTTTGCCCAAGGATCAAGAAGGGAGGTGTGTGGATGGGAGGTGGCTTTGCCCTCAGGGCAGCCACAGTACGTGCTTTGGGAATGGAGGCTGGCATGTACAGGTCAGTGTCTCTGACCTTCCTGGGACATGGAGGTCCCTGCTGGGCAGGGGGCGTGACTGGGGAGGAATAGTGGAAAGTTTTCCTCAGTGCTCCCTGTCTCCTCCCAGAAGCTTCCCAGGCAGGCTTCTCCAGGAGGTGAGACCAGGAGAGATGCTAAAGAAGCGACTGTCATCTTTCAATAGGACTTGAGTGTTTGTGAACCACTTTCTCAACAGCTCTGTGAAATGGTAGGACAGCCAAATAGGAGGAGAGCTCAACCCCCTAACAACTACTCCATACAGCCTTTCTTCACCAGAATTTTCACCTGTGATTTCACTGCTTCTAAGGAGCTCCCAGTGAGGACACTGCCCCAGTGAATGAGGTTATCATCTGAGAGACCAGCTGGGTGACCCTGGGGAGATCACTTAACCTCTCTCTGCCTCGGTTTCCCCATCTGTAAAGTGAAGATAGTAATAGCACCTACCTCCCAGGCTTGTGAGGTTCAAATGAGATGATGTCCGTAAAGTGCTTGGCACCGTGCCTGGCACTTGTAATGTTGTTCAGTCTCTCAGTCATGTCCCATTCTTTGTGAGCCCAGAGACCAGAGCACAGCAGGCTCTTCTGTCCCCCACCATCTGTCTGTCAAAGTCTGTCCACGCTCATATTTGCTGCTCCACGACACTCCATCTATCTCCTCCTCTGCCGTCCTCTTCTCCTTTTGCGTTCAGTCTTTCCCAACATCAGGGTCTTTTCCAATGAGTCCTGTCTTCTCATTATGTGGCCAAAGTACTTAAGCTTCCACTTCAGTATTTGACCTTCCAGTGAATAGTCTGAATTTCTTTAAATATTGACTGATTTGATCTCCTTGCTGTTCAAGCAACTCTCAAAAGTCTTTCCCAGCACTATAAATCACAAGCATTGATTCTGTGTTACTCAGTTTTCCTTATAGTCCAACTCTCACAGCCATACATAATACACACTGGAAAAACCATAGCTTGGAGCATATGGACCTTTGTTGGCAAGGTAATGTCTGTGCTTTTTAATTTGCCGTCCAGATAATGACTTTCCTTCCAAGGAGCGAGTATCTCTTAATTTCATGGCTGCAGTCACCATTTGCAGTGATCTTTGAGCCCAAGACCATAAAATCTGACACTGTCTCTATTTCTTCTCCCTCTCTTTGCCAGGAGGTGATGGGACTAGTTGCCAAGATCTTAATTTTTTTGTGTGTTAAACTCCTGGCTAGGTTTTACACCCTTCTCTTTCACCCTTATCAAGAATCTTCTTAACTTCTCTTAATTTTCTGTCATCAGAGTGGTTCATCTGTATATCTATGATTGTTGACATTTCTACCAGCAACCTTAATTCCAACTTTTCATTCATCTAGCCTGGCATTTTGCATGCTGTGCTTTGCATATAAGTTAAATAACTAAGGTGACAATGTACAGCCTTGTCATACTGTTTTCCTAATCTTAAACCAATCAATCCTTCCACGTTCAGTTCTAAATGTTGCTTCTTGACTTGCATACGACTTCCTCGGGAGACAAGTAAGATGATCTGGTACTCTCATCTCTTTGAGACCTTGCAATATTTTGTTGTGATTCATACACTGAAAGGCTTTAGCAATGAAGCAGAAGTAGAGTTTTTCTAGAACTCCTTTGTTTTCTCCATCATCCATGTTGGCAATTCGGTCCCTAGTTCCTCCACCTCTTCAAAAACTAGCCTGCTTTTCTGGTAATTCTTGGTTCACATATTGCTGAACATTCAAATTACCAAACAACTGAGCTAATTTCATGTGCCAGAAAGGTTATATTTAAGATTTTAGCATGCTAGGCACGTGAAATTAGCACAATTGTTTGGTAATTTGAGCATTCTTTGGCACTGTCTGTCTTAAGGATTTAGATGTAAATGGATATTTTCCAATGCAGTGACCACTGTAGAGTTTTCCAAATTTGCTGGCGTATTGAGTACAAAGTTGAAAGGTTGTATGAAGACCTGTAACATCTTCTAGAAATCATACCAAAAAAAGACGTCATATTCATCATAGGTGATCGGAATGCTAAAGCGGGAATGCTAAAGATAATTGGAATAATAGGCAAGTTTGGTCTTGGAGTATGAAATGAATATACATATACATAGATATCTACAAACATACACACGTGTACACATATAAACTCATACACATATATGTAAGACAATAGTATGCTCATTTCCCTTTGTCATCTGTTTCTCTGGAAGTAGATAACATCTTCCTTTGCAAGTTCAAATCTTTCCATGTTTTTCTAAATCACAAAGCTCATCACTTCCTACACTACAGCAATATTACAACCCAATCCCATGTGGTCTGAGAGATTGTCTCTAAAAGTTTTCTCCCAATTTTCTGCATTCCTTCTATTCTTGGTTGCACAGGTTTCATTTATACAAGGAAAATTTAATTTGGAATAATTGAAATTATCCATTTTATACTTCAACAATGCTCTCACCTTATAATATAGTTGAAGGTCTGATACTGCTGAATTTACTTCCTTTACATCTTTTTCTCTAGTTTCTTTAAAGTTCCTCACCTTTTGTTCTTCCATATGAACTTTGTTATTTTTTTTTCTAACTCAGTAAGATAATTTTTTAGTAATTTACTTGGAATGACATTGAATAGATTCATTAGGTAAAACTGTCATTTAAAAATTATATTGGCTTTACCTATCCATAAATAATAACCATTACTTCAATTATTTAGCTCTGACTTCGTATAAAAACTGTTTTATTTTTATATTCATATAGTTCCTGTGCCTGTTTTGGCAGGTATATTCTCAGGAATTTTATACTGTCTAGGTATTTTAAATGATCTAAAACAATGTTGAATAATATTGCTGACACACAGTGCAGTTTCCCTATTTTTCTCTTTTGATTAAATTTATTTTAGTTTTAATTTTGTCTGAGATCACAATTACTGCCACTGCTTTTTTTACATAATAAATTCCACTCCTGACCTTTATTTTATCTTTGTGTGTATCTTCCGTTTTTATAGCATTTCCTGAAAGCAACATAGTGTTGAATTCAAATTTTTAATCTGCTATCAGTTTCCATTTTATAAGTAAATTCATCCCATTCACATTTTAACTTCAGGTCAATTTTCTTTGATACTTTCTTGTAATAATGTATGAAGATTCCTTTTCTATCATAATTTTCAGGTAGTCCAGCTACTCATATTATTTTTCCTAGATCTGTTCTCCAGATCAGTTGTTTTTATGATGAGATGTTTCACATTCTCTTCTATTTTTTCGTTCTTTTGATCCTATTTTATTATTTCTCGGTGTCTTAGAATGTCATTAACTTCCCTTTGCCCAAATTTAGCTTTCAAAGAATTATTTTTTCCTTAAGTTTTTGATTCTCTATTTCAAGTTGGTTAATTTTCTTTTCATAATTTTTTTGGATTGCTTGTATTTATTTTTTTTTTCAAATTTTTCCTCAATCTCTCTTATCTGATTTTTAATGTCCTTTTAAAGTTCTTCCAAGAACTCTCTTTGTGCTTGGGACCATTTGACACTTCTCATTGAAAAAGAAGTGACTTTTTTCACTCTGCTATCTTCCTCTGAATATGAACCTAGATTTTCTCTATCCCCATCTATCTATCTATCTATGGTTGGGTTCTTTCTCTTCTGCTTACTCATTTTTATTCATTTGTTTTTTGTTTCATTTTGTTTTCAGCAGCTATTGGTGTAATCAAATTCTAGTTCTGAGGTATGAGGAATGATGTCCCAAGTCTCAGGTATTTTCTCCTGTTATTTTCTAAGGTCTGTCCTGGGGCTTAACCTTGTGCTCTCCTCCCCACTCTTAAGCCTCAGCTAGAGCCCCCAGCCATGCTGTTCTGCAAATGAACTTTCTCCTTGTAGTCCCTCAGGTGGCTGCAAACTACAGTTGTCCTCTCCACCCTGGAACTGAAACCAGGGACTCTGCTGTCCTGCAAGTGCCCACAGCCACTGCTGCTGCACTTACCAGGTGTGTGCTAGCTCCTTCTCCCCTGCAGCCACAGCCTGGGAGGGATCTGGTCAGTACAGCTGTGCTTGGTATCCTCCAACAGTAGAAGGTCCTTTAGTTTCTACTCCACTGGCAGACCCTCACAGTGTCAGTCAGATGAAAGTCAAGTCCTCAGCTGAGTAGATGGGGAAGAGGCACTGGAGGAGGCTTGAGGAGGGATGAGAGGTTTTGGACGAGCTGCTGGACTGAAGAGGAAGAGGAGGAGGAAAAGGAGGAGGAGGAGGGGGAAGACAGCCAATCTTTAGGGAGGTGTGAAAGGACTGTCTTGCTGCACTGAGGGCCCAGTTAAGATTCCACTAACATAAATTTGTAGTCACTCAGTCTCCAAGCTCATGTAGCTTTCATGAGCTCCCATTAGCCGGCTATACATGGTCTTGTCTTCATCACGGATATCTGCCAGCAGCCAAACCTCCTAGGTCTCCTACACGTGAATTTCTTCCAATATGATGCTCAGATGAGACAGGGGAGGACACGTCCTCTGGTAGCTATGAAGGGGAGTTATCACTGTGATTGCTGCTGTTCACTTCATAGCTGCTGCCTTTATCTCTCTCTTTCTTTCTTTCTCTCTATTCCCCAGGTGACTGAGATGCCATCCCGAAGGAAGCCCTGGCACAGCATGGCAAAGGGGCTCCTTCTGGGTTGCCTCTTTACTGGCCTTCTATTGCTGTTCTACTCTTACACTATTGCTCCTTCTCAAGCCACCATGGCCAAGTGAGTGAGAAGCAAAGAGGGGGGAAAGGGGGTGGCTGGGGTAGCCTCCTGGCCTTAAGACTGGCCCCCACACAGATTGAGGGCTCCTTCATTAGAAAACCTATAAGGGGAGTGGATAGATGAGGCCCCTCACTTCAAAGGCAATGTCTCTCTGGGACCACGGAAGGAAGACTCATATCCACCACAGACAAGAGACAGCCTGGGAAAGAGGAAGAGGCTGAAGCATTCCTGGCTGTTAGAACTGGAACATAGAACATAGAATGGAAGAACTGGAAGAAAAAAGACAAATGTCAGAGCTGAGAGGAATGTCAGAACATAGAACTTGGGAGCTGAAAATAGAACATAGATAATTGGAAGAGGTCTTAGGGCATAGAATGTCAGACCCAAAGGGGATCTGAGAGCACAGAGTGTTAGAGTTATGAAGGCAGAACATAGGGAGTAAAAGCTTCACAGAACCTTTGAATGCAAAATATGCAAAATTAGATCTAAGGGACTTTGGCCTGTCAGCACTGGAAGGGATATTTATCTATATATAATATAGAATCTAGTCAGAATTGGAGGGGGTCTGAGGTCACAGGTGGTTAGAACTAGAAGAAACCTAGAACAAAGAATGTTAGAACTGGACAAGAACTGGAAAGGACCTTAGACACCATCTATTCCAAACTCCCTCATTTTGTTTATTTGCATATTTATTTATTAAAGTTTTGCTGGTAATCTTTTTTTAACTTCACTGTTACTTCCCCCCTCTCACTGACCCACCAAGAGAACTCTCATAACGAATAAAATAACTACAGTCAATCAAAGACAAATTGGCAAATCTGAAAATTAGCCATACTTCATTTGACACCCATAGTCTGCCACCAAGAGATGGCAGTTATTCTTCACCCTTAGTCTCATAAAGTCATTATTGAACACTGCCTTGATACAAATTCTATTTACTATTTTTTATTACTAATTTATTTTTAGTTTTCAACATTCACTTCCACAAGATTTTGAGTTCCAAATTTTCTTCCCATCTCTTTCCTCCACTCACCCCAAGATGGCATGCATTCTGAATACCCCTTCCCCTAATCTGCCCTTGTTTCTATCCTCCTGCCCTTCTATTATCTCCTTCCCCTCCAATTCTCCTGTAGGGCAGGACAGATTTCTAGACTTCATTTCCTGTATATCTTATTTACCAATTGCGTGTGAAACCAATTTTTTTTAACATTTGTTTTTAAAACTTTGGGTTCCATATTTTCTCCATTCTTCACTCCCCACCTATCCTCATTGAGAAGACAAGCAACTCGATACAGGTTATACATGTATAGTCATGCAAAACACTTCCATGGTAGTCATGTTGTGAAAAACTAAGTATATTTCCCTTCATCCTATTCCGCCCACCATTTATTCTGTTCTTTCTTTTGACCCTGTCCCTCCTTAGAAGTGTTTGCTTCTGATTACCCCTCCTCCAATCTGCCCTCCCCTCTATCATCCCCCTGCTCTCTTATCCCCTTACCCCCTATTATCCTGTAGGGTAAGAGATATCCATACCCAATTGAGTGTGATACAAATTCCAGTGTTTCAATGTTGTTTTCCTTTACGTTACTGTAGTCATTGTGGAAATTGTTCTCCTGGTTTTTCCTACTTTGTTCTGCATTATTTCATACAAGTCTTTCCAAATTTCTCTGAATTCATACCCATAATTTCTTACTGCACAATAATATTTTATTAAATTCCTCTTTATTCAGTCACTCCCTAGTAGATGGACATTCACTTTCTTTCCAGTTCTTTGCTACTACAAAAAAATACTGCCATAAATATTTTTATCAGTGCAACTAGAATTATTTTTGTATACCTAGAACTTTGCCCTCTATCTTTGTCCTCCTTGGGGCCATGTGTCTAGTAGTGGCATCAGTGGGTGAAAGGACACGTACAGTTTGATAATTTTTGGTGTAATTCTAGAATTTGAACTAATTCCCAACTCCATCAATAATGCTTGTCTTTCCAGGGTCCCTTCAAACTTTACTATTGTAACATGGGTGAGCATTGCTGTGGAGGGTAGAGTTGGCCAGATGATACTTGATACTTCTTGCTCCCTTCTCCTTACTGAAGGAAGGAAGGGAAGGGAATCGGTGTTTATACAGTGCCTATTGTGTGCCAGGCACTGCGCTAAGCACTTTCCAAGTATTATCTAATTTAATACTGGCTACTGGATACAAGTCTTTCTTTTTTATCTTTTTTTTCATTTTAGACTTAAATGCTAAAACTTAAACAGGCAAGGAGAAAAGAAAAAGAAAATAAGAAAAAAAAGTTCAGGTGCCAAGCAGAACATAAGAGAAGATTCGAAATATATAGCAATAAATTTCCATTTCAAGAAAGCCTATGTAATAAATATTGCGCATTGTGTTGAGAGCTAGCCATCGTTTTTTTTTGCTTCCTTGTAAACTTTTCTATGTTCTCTGCTTTGCATTTTTCACTTTGTTCTTTTTTCCCCCTTCTTTCCCTGCCCCTGCCCCCAGTAGGCTATAATTAAGCCTAGATATATTTATATAGATATTATATACACATATACGCATACATACATATATGTATAAACATATACTTTCCCTAATAAATTCTACTCCTTTTTTTTTTTTTGCAATTGGGGTTAAATGACTTGCCCAGGGTCACACAGTAAGTGGCAAGTGTTTGATCTGAGGCCGGATTTGAACTCAGGTCCTCCCGACTTTAGGGCCGATGCTCTGTCCACTGCGCCACCTCACTGCCCCAATAAATTCTATTTCTAATCTTTCTTTTTATGCTTGTGCATATCTGTTATTTTCTATTCCTCCTGACTCCTCTACCTTACTTCTACCAGTTAATTTGTCCTCCTGTCACTTATCACTCCTATGACCACTTATCTCTTCTGGAATGATTCTTGTTCTTATATATTCAGTGTGAGCGTGTGCATGTGCACACATGTGTGCGTGCATGTGCATGCATGTATACAGATGTGTGTGCGTGTGCATGTGTGTGTATGTGTATGTGTGTGAGTATATGGTGTGTGCGCGTGTGTGCATGCGTCTATGTGTGTAGATGGACAGATAGATGTAGATACAGATGTAAATATACAGATGAACATATCCTGTACGTAAGACTTTTGTAATAGAGATGTTTGCTGCAAAGACGTTTTCCCATTTAATTGCTTCTCATCTAAGTCTAGTTGTGCTAATAATAGTTTTACAAAAACTTTTCAATGTTACGTAATCCAACTTGACTGTTCTCTTATATGAGCATTTCTGCCTTTTGTTCAGTTAATAATTCTCCCCTTGGCCACAGGTGTGTAAGCAGCTCCATTCCATTCTCTCCCAACAATTTGAGGATGTGCCCATCTCTATTTATGGCATAGCTCTCTATGTGGAGCTTATGGTAGCATTTGACTGTTGAATCTCTATAGTCCTCAAAGTAAACTATCATATCATCTGTGATTGGAGATGTTTGCTAGTTCTTATTTCTTTGATTTCTTTGCCTTATCTTATTGAAATAGCATTTCTAAAACCATATTTAATACTAGTGGTGACTGTGGATACCTTTGTTTTACCCCTAATCTTATTGGAAAGGTTTCTAGTGTTTTCCCATTGCAAATAATATCTCTTGCTCAGCTCTTACTTTACAGATGAGGAAGCTGAGACCTAGAGAAGAGAAAGGACTTACCCAAGGTCACACATGATGAGAAAAAATGATTACAGTTTTCTCACCAAAGCTCTCACCGTTCTCTTTCCCAACAGGGCCCCAGAGCCAGCCCGATGCTCCTCTCCACCCACTTTACCTACCAACATCCCCAAAGGCTCCTGCTGGCCGAAGTTAGATGTTGTGTTCATGAAGACTCACAAGACCGCCAGCAGCACCCTGTTAAATATCCTCTTCCGCTTTGGCCAGAAGCACAATCTCAAGTTTGCTTTTCCCAGTGGAATGAGTGACTTCAACTACCCGTCCTTCTTCAAGCGTAACACGGTGCACAACTACCAGCCTGGCGACTGCTTCAATATCATCTGTAACCATATGCGTTTTTCCTACGCTGAAGTGCATAGCCTGGTGACCCCCAACGCCACGTTCATCACGGTGCTACGGGATCCAGCCCATCTCTTTGAGTCATCTTTCCAATACTTTGGGGTGTTGGTGCCCTTCACATGGAAGCTCACTGGCCGCAACAAGTTGGCCAAGTTCCTGCAGGACCCTGACCGCTACTACGACCCCAAAGGCATCAATGCCCACTACCTCCGCAACCTGCTCTTCTTCGACCTGGGCTACGACAGCGGGCTGGACCCCCGCAGCCCCCAGGTGGAGGAGCACATCCTGGAGGTGGAGCAGAGGTTCCACCTGGTCATGCTGCAGGAGTACTTCGACGAGTCCCTGGTGCTGCTCAAGGACCTCATGTGCTGGGAGCTCGAGGACGTCCTCTACTTCAAGCTCAATGCCCGCCGGGCCTCTGCCATCCCCCAGATGACAGGCAAGCTCTACCAGCAGGCCACGGACTGGAACCAGCTGGACGCGCGCCTCTACCGCCACTTCAACGCCAGCTTCTGGCGCAAGGTGGAGGCCTTCGGGCGGGAGCGCATGGCCCGCGAGGTGGCTTCTCTGAGACAGGAGAATAAGAGAATGGAAAGGATCTGCATTGATGGGGAGCATGCAGTGGATGCCAAGGACATTGAGAAACCATCACTGCAGCCCTGGCAGGCAATGGGGACAAAGACAATTCTTGGTTACAACCTAAAGAAGCATATCAGTCATCAGTATGGCCAGTTGTGCCGAAAAATGGTGACTCCTGAAATCCAGTACATGACTGAACTTGGGGTCAACTTGTGGGTCACCAAGTTATGGTGGTATATTAGGAAATTGCTGCATATTTAATAGATACCTGACCCTGACCAATTCTCTGTTATTCCTGGCTCAAAAAAAACATGGCACAAGGGTATCCTTTACTCAGGGCAGAGTGGATGAACCTTTGGGCTAAACACTCAGGGAAATAGACAAGGTAATAAAATCTGACCTCTACTTTCCAAACCAGACCAATATCTTTCCATCCTTACCTTAACCCTGGGCAAGACATACAGAAAAACGGGCCAAGATCTGAGCATTAACTCACAGTCCACTGGGTGAGCTTACAAATGGTCAAGCCAAATTAGACTGGATACGAGATGCCTTCAGTCAAGAGCAGAATTTGAATAATTACATACATCTTAAAAATTTTAAGGGACATTCTCCTTTTATGGAGTAGCCTCTGAAATAATATAATTTGTTCTTTCCATTTTGTATGTGTAGAAAGTGAGATTGAGGAGAAGACTTCCCAAGAGATCATTCCCTATGATGTGTTGGCCCAAATTATTGGGATAAATTCCCTGGACTCCATTTCTCTGGATGCTCCATGTTTGGACACTAAGGATGGGTATTTCTAAATGAAGACTTGCATGGGTTGTCTTCTGAGAGGCAGGACATTTAAGGTGAGGCTACAAGACGTGGTCCTGAGTGGATATGAAGAGTCTAGCCCAGGAGTGGGGAAGATAACAGTACCAGCAGACCACTGATGACCCCAGAACAAAAGTAAGAGATTTCCTTAGATCCCCAGCCTTCCTCAAGTGACTTTATAGACCTCAAGACTTCCCTGAGAAGCTTGTCTGTGAGGCAGAGACTCAGAGATGGACAAGGCCCCACCCATAGCCCTGTCATTGAGGTGGCATTGGGAACTACCAGGTCAGTCGCTTTCATGAAGTGGACCTGAACTCTGAGATTTTTGCTCCTGGGTCATGAATTTGGAAGTGACTCTCCCCAATTCTGGGTGATTAAGGGTTATATTATAATCACCTTGGAGTTTGTAAGGGGATTCACCCATTTGTATATGGGGCCTAAGAATGGCTATAATGTTAGTCATATCAACCGTATTATTTTCATTGCTTTTGTTTCTAAATTAATTTGATGAGATTTCAACACGAGATTGCAGCTGGAACTGCACCGGGAGGCATAGCTAATGTGTCAGATAATATGACAGAGTCAGGAATCAAAATGATCATGACAGCCCAGACTAGAGCTTTGGGCTGAATGGCAGATGATGAATTTCAATGGTGATCAGTGTGAAGTCTTACATTCGGTTCAGAAGATCATCAACGTAAGGTCAAGAATGACGGGCTGTAATTAGACATTAAGTTGTTTGGGAAAAGGTCTGGGAGTTGGAGTGAACTGCAAACCTAAAATGAGTCAGTAATGTGAAAGGGCAGCTAAAAAAAATCTGATGCTTTCTTGGCCTGAAAAAAGAAGGGCAGAGCCCCAAAGGGAAGGAAGGTAATTGTTCTTCCATGTCCTGCCCTGGTCCTTCTAACACCTAGAGTCTTACATTCACTTGTGGGTAGGAAGGTCATTGATAAGATGGAGGGCAACCAGGAGGGAAAAGGGCCTTAAGTCCATGTCATATGGAAATGGGGTGAAGCAACTGGTGATGGTTAGCCCAAAGGGGAGAAGACTTGGTGGGGGGGGATCTTAATCATTGCCATGAAGTATTTGGAGAATTGTCATATGGGATCCTTTTGTGTTCCTTTTGACCAGAGAGTAGAACCAGAAGCAATATGTGGGAGTTGCAAAGAGGTAAATTGAGGGAAACCTTTCTGACCATTACAGCTATGTATAAGTGTGGTTGACCTTGGGAGGTACCCTTCTCAGAGGTTTGCAATCAAAAGCTGAATGACAGGTTGTCAAACATGTTATAATCGGGGATCTTTTTCAGTTACAGGTTGGAGTAGATGGCCGCTGAGGTCTAACATTCTCTGCTTCTTTGAAATGATCTGCTGTCAGATTGGTGGCTTATACAACCTCCTGAGAAGAGAAAGTTGTACTGAGGGGCAATAGAACTAAGGCAAGAGAAAGAAATTGAATGGATAAGGATAGGGAAAGAGGAGAGAAAACTATTCTTCCCTGTGGCAGCATGATGCCTTACTCAGAAAATCCTAGGGAATCCTCAAAAATATTAATTGAAACAATGGTTTCAGCAAAGTTGTAGGCCTCAAAACAAACCCACAAAAGTCAATAGAATTTCTATATTATTATAATAAAATCAAAAAGGCAATAACAGAAAAGGATAGTCTATTAAAAATGACAGCAAAAATGTGCAAAGAAATTAGAGACTCAATGTAATGAAACACACAAAATACTTAGATTCATTTACAAAGATCTTTAAAAAAATAAAGAACAACTTAAACAACTGAAGGAATATTTGGTGCTCATGGCCAGGCAGTGCCAACACGATAAAAATGACAATACAATCAAGATAAATTCACACTTTTAATGTTGTGCCAATTTATCAAAGGGATGGGTTAGAGAAATACATAAAATAAAATTCTTCTGGAGAAATGAAATAGCTCAAATACTGAAGGGAACAATGAAAAACTTAGGAAAAGGTGGAATAGTGCTTCCAGACCTCAGGCTATATTATAAAGCAGTAGTCATCAAAATCATTTGGTAATGGCTAAAATTAGAGAAGTAAGCTGATGGAAAAAACTAGACAAGGGAGGAGAACCAGAAGCAATGAAACTCAACAACTCAGTGCTTGGTAAACCTAAAAATATATAAATTACTTAGGAAGGAACTCAGTATTTGATTTTTAAAAATGCTCAGAAAACTAGAAAATAGACTAGTAGAAATTAGGTTTAGACCAACATCTTATACCATATTCTACAAGAAATTAAAAATAGAAACATGAATCTAATATTAAGGAGCATGCTATTAAAAAATTAGAAGATATACAGATTAGATACCTTTTACAGCTCTGGGTGACAGATGAAGTCTTAACCAAACAAGGGATAGAGGAAATTACAAAAAAAAAAAATAAGATACATAATTTTGATTACATGAAACTAAAAAAAACCCCAGCAAACTTCTATTCAAATAATATTAATGAATCAAGCATAAGAAGGGAAGTGGTCAAATGGAAAAAAAAATCTTTGTATCAATTTCTCAGATTAGGTTTTAGTAACCAAGATATATAGACAACTAAGATGTATATAGATACATATGGTGTAGAGATAGATATAGATAGATATAAAAAAAGCAAAAGTCATTGCCCAATAGAGACGTGATTGAAGGATATGAATAAATAGTTCTAAAAAGATTTCTAAACTATTAACAACCATATGAAAGAATGCCCCAAATCACTAATGATAGAAAAATGCAAATTAAAATCACCTTGAGCTATTACCTCACAACTAGCAAATTGGAAAAAATAACAAAAGATGGGAATAATCAGTATTGGGAAAATTGTGGAGACGTGAATTAGTAAAAACCATTTTGAAAAACACTTGGAAAAATCTACACAAAGTGCCTATACTCCATATGCTTTGACCTAGAGATTCCACTAATAGGCATATACTCCAAGGATGTCATTGATGAGAAGAAAGTTCCCATATAGACAAAAATATTTATAGTGACACTTTGTGTGCTATCCAAGAACAGAAAACAACGTAGATGCTCATCAGTAGGGGGACTTTGTGGTACATGAATATAATGGAAAATTATGTGCTGTAAGAAATTATGTACAGGATGAATATACAGGAACTTGAAATGAGCTACATGAGCTGATGCAGAGCAAAACAGAGCCTATAAACATTTATTAAGAGCCTACTATGTGCCAGGAACTGTATTAAGCACTGGGGAAAAAGAAAGACAGCCGCTGTCTAAGGTACTTACTATCTCACTGTGAAGACAACACACAAAAACAAGCTGAGAGGGCTGGCCGGAGTCCTCTTTAAATGGAGACTTTGGGAGGGGTCCTTTGCTCTGCCCTCTAGCCTTCCAGTGAAAGAGGCAGAGGGTCTTGAGGATGCTGAGGACATTGATGAGGTGTGAAGATCAAAGCTACTGCCATCTTGGTAGAATAATGAGTTCGGTGTTTTTTTTTTTTCTGATCATGAGGTTTCCAGGGGGCTTGATGGAAACAACGTGCATAATGACCACAACAACATCAACAGAAAAAACAACAACCATCAAACAATCAAAAGTGGATATTGCAAGATTACAAGGAACAAGCATGGCCCAAAAGAAGAGATGGGAGAAAACATCTCCCCTCCTTTGCAGAAGTGGGAAGCCCTTAGGCAGAGATGTCATGAGGCTCAAATGAGCTAATAGATGTAAAGCACTTTGCAAACATAATTATTGTCACACTTTCTTCTGCTGAGCTCAAACGCTGTTTATCGAATGTGAGGGGCGGTGCCGATATAGATTTAACAACCAGGCTCTCGATAAAAGTGCAAACATAAACTTAAATTTAATCTGCATTATTAACATGTTCTTAAGTCTAGGCAATCAACAAAAGTATAAACTAGACACTGATTAGTAGAAATTTCCGATTTCTGTGGTGTAAATGATCACCTTGAAAATGTATTAAGCTAGTGAGAGACCACTCCTGCACATCCCTGTGCACAGGTGAGGAACACTGCAGATATTTTCAGACTTCTTCCATATGGCAATCAGTTTTGCTGGGTTTTTTCCCTTCTTACTCTTTTTTTTTCCTTTAAAAATATTATTTGTTGAGAATGGAGACGAAGATGGCAGAAAAAAGAAAGACTTCCCTGAGCTCTTCCAAATTCCCCTCCAAACAACTTTAAAATAATGCTTCGAAATGAATTCTGGAGTGGCAGAACCCACAAAAGGATGGGGTGAAAAAATTTTCCCACCCAAGCCAAACTAGAAGGCCAGCAGGTAAGGTCTGTCAAGTCAGGGTGAGAGTGGATGGTCCAGTGCAGACAATACCTCCTTAAGACAGCAGCAAGCCTTAGGGGCAATTGAATTGGCAATGGCAGCTTCTAGAGCTCTCAACCCACAGATGGTAAGGGGGTCAGACTACTCGTCAAAAGGGGATTACAGGGGTCCTTTTGCAGGCACTGGGGGCAGGACCATGTGCAGGTTGCAGTCCTGAGTGACGGACCCAGGATGAGGATGAGTAGCTGCACACCAGAGGGGGTGTGGGGACCCTGGTCACAGCTGCATGGAAGAAAAGAATGCTCACAGTCACTCACAGACAAGAGCACAGACCAGGTGAGCAGTGACCACACCTCTTCTTAGATCATATCACCTTGGAAGAACTGAAAACTTACAGATCCCCAGAACTAGTTCTGAAAACAGCTGCAAAAACCCCCTGAAGTTTGGAGCAGTGTACCTTCTGCCTGGGGAGCAGAACCCAACTTTAATATACATTTAAAGGTCAAGAAATAGGCTGGAAAATGAGCAAACAATAAAAAAGAACCTGACCGTAGAAAGTTACTATGGTGACAGGGAAGATCAAAACAAACTCAGAAGGCAATAAAGTCAAAACCACTATATTCAAAGCCTCAAAGAAAAATATGAACTGGTCTCAGGCCCAAAAAGAATTCCTGAAAGACCTCAAAAAGGATTTGAAATCTCAAGAGAGGTAGAGGAAAAATTGGGGAAAGAAATGAGAGTGATGCTGCAAGAAAATCACGAAAAAAGAGTCAGTAAAGGAAGCACAAAATATTGAAGACAATAACAACTTAAAAAAAGGAATAGTGGCTAGGGGTGGGGAGCCTGTGGCCTTGAGGCTACATGTGGCCCTTTAGGTCCTCAAGTGCAGCCCTATGACTGAATCCAAACTTCACAGAACAATTTCTTCTGCTTCACTGCCAATGCTGTCCATGACTCAAAAAAGATAAAGGACCTTTGCCCTAACCAGTTAATGATCTGATTGTACTTAGGTGATTTAGGAATGACTGCCATATAGGGAATGAGTCACGTCTTGTAGGTTAAAATATAATCAACTTCTTAATTTTTGTACTTGTATTACTTGGGAGATCCACGTGTTCAGCATCTTTCATTCTTTTCTCAAAGGAGGTATGAATAATTTATACGTGTGAGACTTCTCAATAGTTTTACAAGTTTTGGGTCCCTCTCCTTCCTTATTCCAGCTCCATATGTTCCAACATATTTTTCACTGAGTTCTTTCTATTTTCAGCTTTGCAGTGAAATCACCAAGTATAAATGTATATGTTATTTTCATGGAACTTCCCAACCCCTTCATCCTACATAAGCTATGTTGATACACTAGAGCAATTATTATGGGGCATCTTTTGGATTATTAGGGACAGGCACCAGACCTGTGACTTCACTGGAATAGAAAACTCCTTCCACCAATTCAAACTGGCTTTACTTACAGTCTTAGAGAATTGCGTAGAGATCAGAGGTTAAATGATTTATCTAGGGTGACACAGCCAACATGGGTGAGACATGGAATTTGAACCCAAGCTTTCCTGGCTCTGAAACCATCTCTCTGAAAATCAAATGATTCTCTCTCTCTTCCCTTCCCTTCCCCCCTTCCCCCCCTCCTCCCTCTTCCCTCTCTCTCTCTCTCTCTCTCTCTCTCTCTCTCTCTCTCTCTCTCTCTTTTTCTTTCATGATCACTTGGTCTGTGAAATGACGTTTCTTGTTTTCTTTGGACAGACTCATTCTACCAATTCCTTTATTCGCCTTTCTGAGGAGACCTACTTAGTGGTACTACTTTCTTTTTCTTTTCTGTTTGGCTTATGGCAAGAATGTCAAGCATGTTTGCTCATGGGCCATTGGGCCTTGGGTTCATGTTTGGACACCACCCGCCAAGTCTGTGTTTATAGATAATCTTAAAACTGTGATCCTTCATGCCCTATGCCCCCTTTTCTTTCACTCTATCACTACCACTGCAGGAGCAGGAGGCTAGCAGGTGTACAAACACCTGTCTGCATACAGACAAAGAAGTAGGACCAGAGTTGAACAGGAAGGGGAGGGGAGGATGTCCTTTAAGAAGCTGCAATATTCATTTAATGACCCCTCCCCAATTTTTCCTTGAAATAAAGGCTCAACTTTTAAGTATTTTTAAAGTAAGTTTTATTATTTTTATTTTAAAAATTGCCTTTTCTCCCTCCTCCCCCCACACTATTGAGACAGAAAGACAAAACCCCCTGTTACGAACATGTTTAGTCAAGCAAATCAAGTTTCTGCATTGGCCACATCCAAGACGCAAAGTCGCCTCCAGTCTTTCACCTATCTACAGGAGGTGAGTAACAGGTTTCATCACAGCCCTCCGGTCATTTTACTGATCAGAGTTTCTAAGTCTTTCAAAATCACTGATCTTCATAATATTGTTGTCGTATAAACTGTTCCCCTTGTTCTAATCACTTCGCTCTTTTTCAGTTCATACAAGTTTTCCTAGGGTTCTCTGAAACCACCCTCTTTATGAGACAGGTGATGCAGTGGATACAGCACTGGGTATGGAATCAGGGAGACGTGAGTTCAAATGTGACCTAAGTCACTTACTCACTGTGTGATCCTGGGCAAGTCTACCTCAGTTTCCTCATCTGTAGAATGGTGGCAATGAATAAAAACACCTGCCTCCCAGAGTTGTTATGAAGATCAAATAAGATAATATCTGTGGAATGCTTTGCAACCCTTAAAGTGCTACAGAAATGCTAACTATAATTATGATTTGCTGTAGCAAATAATAGTCTATCACATTCATATACCACAACTTGTTCAACCATTCCCCAATTGATGGACATCCCCTCAATTTTGAATTCTTTGGCACCACAAAGAGAGCTGCTATAAATATTTTTATAAATCCTTAGAATTTATTTTGCTTAAGACAAATTATTCCCTTCATCTATCCTCCTTTTAAATTCCTTCTTTTTCCATTCTCCCCTTTCCTCCTATTTCCATATTGAGTGAAATGTATTTCTGTACCCAACTCTGTATTTATATTCTTCCCTTCTTTAACCGATTTAGATGAGAATAAAGTTCAAATGTCAGCCACTCCCCACCCCCATGCCTTCCTCCTTCTTTGTAGAGATGTTTAATTGTGCACTCTGATTATGTAAGGTCATTGTCTCTAGCCTTCTCTTTCTTCCTCCCTCTACACCTGGCCAGTGTTTTTCCACTCTTAAGATAATCATGACAGGACAGAACCACCAGCAATCCTTCTGCCTAATTAGACTCTCTCTATACCTCCTGATGATGATAGAGTTCTGAGGGGATACATGTGTCACCTCCCCATGTTAAAATGCAAGCAATTGATCCCGGTTTAGCCCCTGAGAATTGTTTGTTTCCTTTACATGATTCCCTTAACTCCTGTGTTTGGACTTCAGAATTTCTACCCAGCTTTTCATCAGGAGAGCTTGCAAGACCTCTTTCATGAAAGATTCATTTTCCCCCTGTAGGATCATACTCAGCTTTGCTGAGTAAGTTACTCTTGATTGTAAGCCTGCATCCCTTGCCTTCAGTAATATCATGTTTCAACCTTTCTGTTCCTTCATAGTAGTTGTGCTAAATCATATCTTTTCTTGACTGGGACTTTGCGGTACTTGAATTAATTTTTTTCTGTTTTGTTTTGTTTTGTCTGCCTGCAGCACTTTTTCTTTGACCCGGAAGCTCTGGATTTGGGCTCTTTTCTTTGTGAAATTTCTCCAAGGAACTGACTGAGAGATTATTTCTATTTCTACTTTGCCTTTGGGTTCTAAGAGATCTGAGCAGTTTTAAGATTTCTTGAGATATGATGTGTAGGCTCTTTTTTTTTTTTTGGTAATGGCATTCAAATAGTTCAGTAATTCTTAAATTATATCTCTTCCATCTGTTTCCCAGGTCAGGTTTTTTTTATATGAAATGTCTTAAATTTTCTTTTTTTCTAGTTTTCTGACTTTAATATCTTTTATTGTATCATGGAATGATTAACTTCCACTTGATCCATTCTGATTTTTAGGATGCTTGCTGCTTGGGTCAAGTTCCTGCCTTCTGGGGCTGAGCAGAGTCAGGCTAATCTCTTCCCTGCCGCATGTGACAAAGCCGCCCAAGCAGTGGGAGACAGCCATCATCCTCCCCTTCCCCGTCCCCACCTCCCAATCTTCCCTTCACTCAGCTTCTTATGGCCTTTCCCCATTGAATTGAATTGAAGTGAGTTGACTAAGGGTCCCAAGGCTGGAGTCCAGGCCCCAGGGATCAGGGCCAGTGATCTTGACCCAGCCCCAGGGATCAGGGCCAGTGATCTTGACCCAGCCCCAGGGATCAGGGCCAGTGATCTTGACCCACTTGTCTCTCCTCAGTTTCGAAAAAACGTCCAGGATGTGCTGGCCGACATGCCCAACCCTGACGACTATTTCCTCCTTCGCTGGCTCCGAGGTGAGGGGGAGGGGGTTTGGAGACATAGCCTGGCTGGGGGTAGGGTGGGGATGGGGCAACGATGATAAGATCTGAATTATCCCCTACACACCTGCCTCCCAGGGAGCTTGTGCAGAAAGTGTCTCCTGAATATTAAAATGTAGCCAGAAAGGGATTTGTTGTGATGGTTTTCATGATGGCAATCATCTCCTTCGATCTTCACAACCACCCTGAGAGGTAGGTATGAGGGGAACGATCAGTAGAATTATCCCCATTTTGCAGGTGGGAAAACTGATTTTCCAGGGTCTCTTCTATCTCTTAATATTTTGAATTTATGACCTGCCCAAAGTCACCCAAGTCTCTGAGCTGGGGCTAGACCTCTGGTCATCTCACTTTAAATCCAATGTTCTTTCCCCAAAGAGATAAAGTAGTGCCATTAAAGAACAGGAACAAATCTTAATCTGCACCCCCCCAAAAAAAACCAAATGGAAGAAAGTATAAAGCTAGTTCTCATAACCTTAAATGGAAAAGGACCAAACAATCCAATAAAATGAAAAAAGTGATAGAAGGCTTATGCTAACAAAACTCCCTAATCAGATGCTTACAAAAAACCGATCTAAAAAGCAAAGACATACACAATAAAACTATTTTAATTGGCTGGCAACATGGTGGTTTATTTAGACAAGGCTAGGGAATCATTAAAGATGCTGAGATAATTAATAGTTTTAGCAAATTTGCAAGGTACTAAATAAACCCGTAAAACAATAGCTTTTTAAATATAATGACAATAAAAAGAGAAATCACATTAAAAAAAACCAACTACAAAATACATTTAGGGATCAGTCTACTGGGACACATAAAAGACTTGTATTGATTCCAATACAAAGTGTTCCTTGAAGAAATAAAAAAAACAACTCAAGTGGCTAAAGGAATATACAATGCTTATAGCTAGCCTGTGTCAATATCATAAAAGTGACAATAGTACCAGAGTCAGTTTACAATAGTAATACTATGCCAATCAATATGCTTAGGTTTTTCTTCATTTTGATCAAATGCTATGCCAATCAGTCTATCAAAAGGAAAATGTATAGATAAAATAAAAGAATAGCAAACTTCATTTGGAGAAACAAAAGAGTTAGTCTATCAAGGGAAATGATGAGAAGAGGTAGTTATGAAGGGGAAATAGCACTTGTAGACCTCAAACTATTACAAAGCAGTGGTTGTCAAATGACCCGGGACTGGTTAAAAATAGAGAAGGGTTGCTATTATCTGTCCTCCAGGCTTTGGTTGAAGCAATGACCTGGGTTCAGGAGTATATAGGCAGTTGGTACTCAGAAAGTTAGTACAAAGAAAAGCTTTTATTATGTGACCCACTGGAATCAATTGTTAAATTTCCAGTACAAACACCACACATCAGGGCTTGACTTATTGTTGGGTTGATTGCCTAGACTTAAGAAAGAGATGGAAAAATTGCTAATATTGCAAAGGAAACTTAAAAGTGTGCTCTGTGTGCAGAGGGATCATTAGCACACCACACTGCATAGCAGAGTCCAAATAGATCTTGGTAGACTAGACTAGAGCACTGGGCTGAATCTGATCACGTGATGTCCGCTAGGGATAACTGTAAAGTCTTACAGTTGGGTTCAAAAAGCCAATGTCTGAAGTCCAGGATGGGGGAGGCAAGTGGCCAAACAGGAAAGAGGAGTTGATTTGGGGCTGCAGTAAGAAAGCCATATCATCCAGAAAAAAGGAGGTGATTAATCCCTCATTCATTCAATAACGTGTCGGGCAAGATCGTTCCCACCCTGAAGGGGCTTACTCAGATCCCATCTTAAGGATGGTGCTCGGCTCTGGTTTAGGAAGGGCACTGACCAATTAAAGGCACGTGCAGGAGATGAGATGGGGAAGGGCGTTGAGTCTATGTCACTGTTGGCCTGAGAGGAGAAGGCTGGGGGTGGGGGAGATGGGATCAGTGTCTTCAAACCCTGGAAGAGCTTCCAGGCACAAGAAGGCCTTGTTCTGCTTGGCTCCAGGGGCACAGCTAGAGCAAGAGAGGAAGCTGAGGAGAACTCCCTGAGACCTGACATCAGGAACAGAATTTAGCCTAATGAGAGCCATCCCACAGTGGAGTGCTCATGGCTTTCCCCTCACTGGAAGCCTCCAAGCACAGGCTGGGGGACCAGGATGGGGAGTGTGTTGGAGGGCTTTCTTGTGCAAAGCTGGGTCAGACTAGAAGACCCCGACAGGCTTGAATCTGTGAAAGTGAGGCTGGGAGAGAGCCACGGGCAGGGGATTCCAAGGAGCTGTTGGCAGACAGCTCAGCCCTCTCTTCCTCTTTGTAGGGATTCTGAAACATCCGGGTTGTTTTTGCTGCCGCTTCTAGGCCCCCCTTTACTCCAGTCCCTGGGCTCTGTCCCAATTAAAACAAGTTTAACCCCAGGTGTCAAGATGAAGCACAATTGGAGGGTTCCTCAGCCCAATTAATGACAGGCTGGCCTCAAGTGAGACAGGATGTGCTTCATGCAAGAGCCTCCAGGAGGCTGGGTTTGTCTCTCCTTTGGCAGTGGCCTGGGTCAGACGTGGGGACCAGAGTCCTGGGGACACCCACGATGGTCAGCTGAGGTCAAGGGAACGAGGCAGCATGCCAGTGGAAAGAGCCTTCCAACTGAGTTCTGACTGCATCTCTTCCCAGCTGGGCAAGGAAATTCCTCCTCTCATCATCAGTTTCCTTATCCGTGGAAGGGGGCTGTTGCTTCTCATGCTACTGGGTCTGACTGATGGCATGTCATGAAGGTGGCACATAAAAGCTGCTATAGAGCATGACTGTATGGGAATTACGTCCCCCCTTCACTCAAGGGATGTTTTTCTCCTGTTGTGGATTGCGGGATGAAGGGGCTGGACTTAAGGGAGCCTGAACAGTTTGGGCCAATCCAATGAACACCCTTAATCTGTAGGAGCTGAGCACGTCATGGGCTGCATTCTGCATGCCCCTTGTGTTCCAGATGAAGAAACTGAGGACAGAGCGAGGAACGAGACTTTATTAAGTGCCCGCCATGTGCCAGACGGTATACTAAGCACTTTACAATCACTGTCTCACCTGACCCTCTCCACAACACGATCAGCCGGCTGCTGTTATTACCCCCATTTTACAGTTGAGGAAACTGAGGCAGATAGAAGTTAAGTGGCTTGTCCAGGCTCACATAGCTGCTATGTGTCTGAGGCTGGATTTGAACTCAGGACTCCCGACTCCAGGCTCATCGCTCTGTGTACTGTACCCTTGGGCTACCTCGGAAGCAGCTTGCCCAGAGTTACTTAGTGAGTAAGCAAACTGGGGCAGGACAGGAGGGTGGGAGGCAGACCAGGGCTTTTGGGGAGGTCACTTGCCGTCTTAGCCACCGGTTCCATCAGGGCACTTATTGGCTGGGCACTGATTTTCCACAGTTTCATCTGTCTACACCTGGTCTTCTCAATAGAACTAGGAACTATGGGAACCAGCTCATATATTTCTTTTCTATATCCCCCCACTGTGCCCAGGACAGAGCAGAGGATGGATGCCGGCGGAACTGAATCACAACATTAACAGCAGTTCACTGTTCTGGAGGATTCTAAGTGCTTTTCTCATCATTGAAGCCAGAGAAAACATTTTCTTTAGGGTGTAACACCTTAAACATGACGTAGAACCTTCAGTTCTGCAAGCCCAGCCCTGGGAGGTAGGGAGTGCAGGCATCAATAACCCCATTTTACAGATGAGGAAAGGTGGAGCTCCAGGGAGCATTGGGATCTTACTAAAATGACAGGCACCCCAGTGGAGTGGGAAGAATCAGTCGTCCTACCCATTCAAATCCTGCCTTGAACGCTTCATAGCTGTGTGACCTGGGGTGATTCATCTAACTCTGATGGCCTCAGTTTTCTCATCTGCAAAATGAAGATAATAACACTAGTACCACCTGCCTCACAGGGTTGGAGTGAGGGGAAAGTAAAATACTCCATCTAAAGTCCTTTGCAGACCATGGAATCTTAGCATTTCAGGACTGGGTGGACTCCCAGGGGCCATCTGCTCTGACTCAGACCCAGGCAGGAATGTTCCCTCCCATGTATCTGAAAAGGGCTCATTGAGCCTTTGTCTGAAGAGCTCTGGTGTGGGGGAGCCCACCCCATCTCTGGGAGCCCATCCCATCTCAGGGAGCCCACCCCATGTCTGGGAGCCCACCCTATCTCTAGGAGACCATTCCATCTCTAGGACCCTGACCCATCTCTGGGGAGAACACCCCATCTCTGGGGAGCCCACCCCATCTCTGGAAGCTGACCCCTTCTCTGGGAGCCCACCACATCTTTGGGAGCCCATGCAGAGCCAGCTCGTGTCCTGCTAAAAGCCCACCTTCTGTAGGGAGAAGCCTTTCTTGATCCCCCTTGATTCTAGTGCCCTCCCTCTGTGGATGGCTATAGCTGTTTCGTGTGTTGTCCCCCCCATTAGACTGGGAGCTCCTTCAGGGCAGGGACTGTCTTTTGCCTTTCTTGGTAGCCTTAGCATGTAGCACAATGCCTGGTATATAGTAGGTGCTCAATAAATGCTTGTTGGCTGACTGACACCTTCTGCTTCTGTCCTCCAGAGCCAAACAAAACAAATCGAATCTCTCCCAGGACAGCCTTTCACAGTAATCATACCTCCCCCCCCACCAAAATCTTCTCTTTTTTGGCTAAACACGCCCAGCTCCTCCACATGACGCTCATAAGCCAGGCTCCAGGTGCTTCCCCATCCTGGGTCTCCTGTGGATACCCTCTCTCTAGCTCATCAACATCTTTCCCAAGCTGCCCACACTGGGGCACCATACTTCCAGTGCAGACCTAGCTAGGTGGAATACGGAAGGAGTGTCTCCTCCTCGTTCCTGGAATGCCCAAGATTGTGCCAGCGTCTTTTGGCTGCCCTTGGACTCATACAGCATAAATCCTAACCGAGATCACTGACAATGACCCAGCAACCCCGATGCCCATTCTTTCAGTATCTGAGGATGGTGGCCGTCTGTGCCAGGAGACACGAAGTCACCAGGAGCTAGCTTATCATTACGTGCTGCCCGACGATTTTATTCAGTTCTCTATTGACCCTTCTGGTCCGTGCTTTCCAGGGCAAGGGGGAGAAAACAGAAGGAAAACAAGACATAAGAAGCACCATTCACTCTGTTGTTAGCTATCTCTGACCCACCCACCCCAACCAGCAGGTCTGTCACTTTTTTAAACCTTTCCCCCCCAAGTATTGCTTTTAAAAAGAACCGTCCTCGTCCCTAGCATTTCTCACCAGCCTAAAATTATTCTGCTTCTGAGCACTCCTGACGTTGTTCCTAGAGCACAGTGCCACCATTTTTGTGTTTGCCTTCTGTTGCCTGCCCTTGCTGCCAGGCCTTTTAGGAATCTCAATGGGCTGATGAGCTCCCTTGGCAAGCTCATCAGTGCCTTTGGTCCAAATGCCTCCTCTTCCCTCCTCAGCAGCCTTGTTTCTCTTTCTTTCTTCCCATTGCATTCCTCAGAGTTCCCCAGCCTACCTCAGGGAGTTCTCCCCATAGGATTCTGAGGCTTTTCCTCTGAAGTCTTGGGAATCTGTCCTCTCTGAATAAAGGATACACCTCAGGCTGCACCTGCCTGGCCTTTCCTGCCCTCTCACAAACTCTGAGTGTGCCTCAATGTACTTACCCATAATTCCACTCTAGCAAGCAGCCTCTTGTAGTTGGTGAAAATCACAATCGTTGGTTCCTCTATATTGCGAAGGATGACATTTTCATCTGGGCAAGCCATCATTAGCCTGGCACATAGTAGGGCCTCATAAATGTTTATTGGTTGGATTGGAGAGAGAACTCCCACAGATGTCTGGATAACAGAAACATCCCCTCACAACAGGACTGTCACGAAACCAGTTCAGCAATGAGCATGCTCAGGCTAAGAACGCACCCGCTAGACGTAGCTCTTAGAGACAGGTGGTTGGAAAGAGAGAAGCCAGAGAATGAAGGACTGAATGAAAAGGCCCTGAATAGGCATCTATTATGGATGAAGCACTGCCCTAAGCTCCAGGGATTAGAAAAATAAAGCGAAGGTATCCCTGGCCCTCAAGGAGGTTACGTTGTAAGGGAAGAAACAGACAGCACACATAGGGAAGTGATGACTTGGGAGGGGAAAGTTACAAGGATGGCGAATGGGACTATAGGGGAGAAGATTGACATGCCCCATCCAGGGGCAGTGACACAGTGCATTTGATCACGGTTCTAGAACTGGGGTGAGGTGGGAAGGAGCAAGGAAGGAAGGAGATATGTCAAATACATTGTAGCAAGGTGGGTGACTAGTGAGAACAGAGCTGGGGGTCGCGAGGGCAGTGAAGAATGCCTGGGATCTTCCTGAAACGGTGAGGCAGGTGAGGGACTGACCAGATCAGTGAAGCCCCAGGATAAAACAGAGAGGAAAAAGTCCAAACCTCCAGGACAATCCTGGGGTCCAGGAGACCCTTGCAAGGTGTCCAAGATCAAAACAATTTTCTCAATAGTACTAAGATGTTTAAAACATCTAACATGGTAAATATTGATAGATATAAATCACATAAGCAAAAACTCTTTGGGTGTCCCTAATAATGGTTAAGAGTTTAAAGGGGTCTTGAGACCAAGAAGTTTGGGAACCATTGCTCCAGGGCATGGCCTCAGTCTGCGTGGCAAAATGATGGGGAATAGAGACTGGATAAGAAGGAAGTGAGTCACCCCTCCCCTCCCCCATAGACCTTGCTTTTGGAGGAACTTTGACGGCCAGGCAAGGCTCTCTTCCTTTGGGAAAACTCAGCAGACTTTGCTTCAGCCTCACTAGAACCCATGTATAAATCTAGGCACTTACCTGTACCCAATTTCCCATGATTCAGGGCTCCCAGCATTCCCTAAAGGCCTCCATTCACTTCAGGCTTCATGGGGTGAGGAATGGGATGTGCTGAGGTATTGGTGGAGAAGCTGGGCCTGGGTCTCCCTGGGCAGGAGGGGAGGAGGACCCTGCCCAGAGGTGGCCTGCCCCAGGCTCCAGCCTGATCTTGGCTTTTTTGCAGCTCGAAGTTTTGACCTGCAGAAATCTGAGGCCATGCTCCGGAAGGTGAGCCCCCAGCCCTTTACTCTCTTGGACCCCAGGCCAGAGCAAGCAGATCCTTGGCCTTCTCACCTCTTGCCGAGTTTTTCCCTTTCCTCCATCTCTCCTTCCTTTCCAGCTTCAGCCAATACTCCTGTCCCACTAGTGGCCTTCCAAAGGCTCAGAATCTTTCTTCCTGCTCCCAGCTCTCCTCTTAGGGTGGGATGAGGCCCAAGTAAGGGTGCCCAGGTAGGGGGTGCCCAGTGAGGGAGTGTCCAGTTAGAAGATGCTCAGGATGGTTCTTAGTAGCCTCTGCCCGGGCCATGGTGGGAGACCTAGCACACCAAGGGGAGGGGCAGGGGTATGGGAGGAGACCTGGACTGGGAGCTAGAACCCCCGGTTCCAGTCTCTGCCCACCACTTTTTGGCCTTGGCCACACATCTCAGAGTGTTGGCTGCCTCATCCGTAATATGAGGTGGTCGGACTAGATGAGCCACATGCATTGGAAAGAATTTGGTATCCAAGGACCTGGGTCAGAATCATTGTTCTGCTGTTTCCTTGCCATGGGACCTTAGGAAAGTCACTTCCCCTCCAAGGGCATCAGTTTTCCCAACTGTACCACGAGGGAGGTGAATCAGCTGCCTTCCAGCCCTGATGTTCTACTTCCAAAGGTTTTTCTCCACTCTGACATCTTGTGTTCTCGGGGTGGGGGGAATTATACCATTATTCATTTTTAACATTCATTTTTAAAAATTGGGAGTTCCAAATTCTCTCCCTCCAATTCCTCACTCACCCATTGAGGAGGCAAATGGCATGATATCGATTACGCAGATGAAGTAATACAAAACATATTTCTATATTAGCCATGCTGCAAAACAACAACAAAAAAAAAGGCAAGGAAAATAAGATTTAAAGAAGTCTGCTGCAGTTTGCACTCAGATTGATCCATTCTTTGTCTGGAGGGAGAGAATATTTTTCATCCTGAGTCCTTTGGAATTTCCACCTTATGTTCTACAGTCCTTTTCCAAGATCCTTCCTAGCTCTGACATTCCATGTTCTAAGGTTCCTTCTAGCTTTGACATTCTAGGTTCAGAGGTTTCTCCCACATCTGACACCCCATGTTCTAAAGCCCTTTTTTGAAGATTTCTCCCAGCTCAGACACTCCCTGTCTCAAGGTCCTCCCAGCTCTGACTTGCTGTCATTCTGAGCTCTGCTCTTTACATCCGACCCTGGGGCTGCCTGAGTTTGAGGAAGCCCTGGCTCGGTACCATCCCATTTCTCTTGGTAGCACATGGTATTCCGGAAGGAAGAGGACCTGGCCAACATCATGAACTGGCAGCCCTCTGAGGTAAGCCTAGATCAACCCCCTACCCAGAGCCCCAGCCCCCAGCCCTGCCTGGCTCTCCTCCGGGGTCTGGCTGCCTGGTCTGTACCATTGGCCTCGGGGCCTCTGAGGGCCATCGAGGCTGCTTCCTCTGTGCCTAGGCCCTCCAGTTATATGACACAGGCGGCTTGAGTGGTTATGACCGAGAGGGCTGCCCTGTGTGGTTGGACGCCACTGGCTGCTTGGATCCCAAAGGGCTGCTTCTGTCCAGCAGTAAATCAGCAGTGGTGAAGAAACGCATCCAGATCTTGACGTTCCTCCTTCAGGAATGTGAGCTACAAAGTGAGAAGGTGAGAGAGGAAGGGGGGGGGTCCTGAGAGGAAAGAGAGGGAAAGAAATCCCTGTGTCTCAGCCCGCTGATCCTGGGGCTCAGCGTGACCCACTTGAGGCAGAGAGCAGCTCTCAGATGGCTAGAAGGGACATGTCTTTGAAGGCATTTTTTTCCCTTCTGTGACCCTGGTATAGGAGGGGAGGCATCAGCTGGAAAGGACCCTGGGTTTAACAGCAGGAGACCCGTGTTCATATTGTAACAGTTTCAAAAATGAAGGTAGACTGAGGCACCAAGTTCCAAGCACAATCCATTTATTAGAGAAGTATGAATTTATCAATAAATAGAATCGGAGCTTCCCAGCAAAGCTCTGACCCAATTATAAAATTAACAATACCGTTTATAGTTTGAGGGAGTACAGAGAACAGGAAAGCTAGCGTCATAGATGGAAGAAAATGTGACTGGATGGAAATGGGGAATGAGGACAAGCAACAGCCCCTTTCTCCCCTCCTGTGACTAAGAAACACTCATTTGAGTCCAAGTGCCCCTGCAAGGACAGAGAGCAAACCAGACATCTAGGAAGGATAGCTTGGTGCTGTAAAGATACTAGACTGGACTCCCTGGTGCCCACTGCATCCTTCAACAGTAACAGACTTCTTTGACACAAGAATAGAGCAACAATTAACTGGAGAGCTGGATTTCCAAGGTTAACTCATCATAGCCAGCTCAATTTCTATTTATATTTAGTAGTATTTTTAGGTAATTGGGGTTCAGTGACTTGCCCAGGGTCACACAGCTAGTGAGTGTCAAGTGTTTTGGTCTGAGGTTGGATTTGAACTCAGGTCCTCCTGACTTCAGGGCTGGTGCTCTATCCACTGTGCCACCTAGCTGCCCCAATGAGCTCAATTTCTGAATTATGTTCAGAGACTGGGCAGTGACAGGACAAAATGAATGAGTAACCACGCCTGAGGCAGTTGCGGGACAAGATCAATTCATCAGGAATAGGATCAATTCAAAAAAGACACAGAGTCAATGTGATCATTTCAATATTCTGGTTATGCAACTTCCTAGCTGTGTGACCCTGAGCACAGAAGCCTGGGAGACTGGAAATCAGTTAGTCAGTCAGTGAGCATTTAGTAAACATTTCCTCTGTGGCACTGTGCCAATCACTCATAATACAGACACAAAATGGTAACAGTCCCCGTCCTAAGGAGCTTGCATTCTAATGGATAGAGATGACAGCTGATGAGGTCACTCGAGAAAGAACATAGGCAGAGAAGGGGACCTGAAACCTAGCCCTTGAAACCACAGGGTGTAGGACATGGGTGTTCACCTCTCCCAGGAGACTGAAAAGGAGCAATCAGACAGGTAGGAGGATCTAGGAGGATCCAGGAAGGAGGAGAGGATTGTAAACAATGTTGAGCAGTGTGGGAGAGACCGATGACTGGTAGTTGAGAGACCGCAGGTGTCTAGAGAGAGTGGCTTCTGTCGAGGGATGAAGCATGATGGCAGCTCGATTATGAGTATAACCCAAGGAGTGTCTAGGCAGCTCTGTGGCATTTTGGGAAGCAGGACTTCCTTCCATGGAGAACTTGGGACCTGACCTCAGCCTTGAAGGAAGGGAGGGATTTCAGTAGATGGAAACTGAGGGAGGAAAACAGCAGGCACGGGGTGGCCTGAGCAAAGTCCCAGAGGTGGGTGAGGGCATGTTTAGTGTTGTGCACAACTAGTTCACTTGACTATAGAGCCTACCTAGGGCCTAGGATTTCCCAATCACCTGATGAATCAAGACCAGCTTGATTTTCTATCTCCAATGCGCATTGATGAGGCGGGAGGCAGGATGGAAGCAACTCTGTTTATTTTTAGCAAAGCATTTACTTATATAGTAAAATAACAGGAACTCTTCCTCAAGTTACAATGACGTATAGCCCATGCTGTGCTCAAGGACAGTGCATGCACTTCCTGTGCACTTATCTGACTCCAATCCCAGAATAGACTGCTAATGACTGTACAATAACTAGGGGAGTTAAAGATTGTTACAGATCCATACAATGGAGCACCGAACCAGGTGAGCTTTGCTCAAAGATCAGCGCCCGAGAGGGGCCTTCACCCATCAGTGAGACCTCTTGAACAGCCTGTGGCCCTCTACATCCTTATAGATCCCTAACAATTCCCCCTTTTTGTTTTTGCTCGAGACGGAGCATATCGAGCTCAGTCCCAAAGTCCTTTATCTGATTAGCTACGCACCTGAGCAAACACGGTCTAAAACACATCATGGCCAGCAATAGCGAACATAGTGGCAACAAAGAAGACAATAGAGACATAAGCCAATGTCCAAGGTTATCAAAAGGGTTACGGAGTTTATCTAGCCAATCAGGTATATGTTGGGCAGTTTTATCTGGCATCAAATCTTTATCAGCTGCCCTTGCAATATCTTTAGCAATTTCGTATAAGTCATCGATATCCACTGCAATAGTAGAATTTCCAAACATGCCCATTTAGATGCCTACGTATTCTTTGCCAATCCCATTGAGATTTATTGTATTTAACATTGGTAAATGAATTTGTACCTGTAATCACATTTCAAATGTGTTCTATATTCTAAAATATCCAATTCATCACCTATTTCATAATGGTTTCCTTCATTCCCTCAATATGGTAAAATTCATCATCTATCCTTTTTGTGTTTGAAAACTTTAGATACATTGAGAGCTAATTGATCCATAAAATCAGCTTGAACCATTTCATTTCTTGACATAGATATAGATTGAGATAAAGATACATAAGCAGTTATGGTAGCTATAAGTGAAACAATTCCTAATGCTACACATGAAATACATCTCTTTTTCCTAGCAACTGCTAATTGATTACTTTGGTCTATTATTCCAAAAATATGATCAGAACGTGACTCATACCAATCTTTGCTTTTCACAGGCACCAAGGCAAACTTTTGTTGTGTAATAACAAAAATAATTTGGTCTCTAATCTTGGTTCCTATACATTCAGACATCCTGCAATTAATACAAGTGACATTATATTCCCCTGAATCCACGGCCATTATATTAACATTCTGTGCTCTTCCCCACATAAATGCATGATTACCAGTCAAACAAGCTCGCATTGTCATATTATCATGGAAGGTCCCTTGCAAATTCGTGATGTTTATGGGCCTAAGGCTGCCCACGCCTTCCACAACTGATTTTCAACCCCTCTGTCATGAAGGGAAACCCACTGAGGAAATGGAAACCCACCAAAAGCCCAAGTATGATTGTTTTTCTCCCTAGTATAATTGTGCCAGGATTGTAACGTAAAATTCTTTTGTAACACAACACAATGACATTCTGAAGTATAACAAGATAACCAAGGAGGATACCCAAAGCTCTTGCTAATCGGTGTCACATGATAGCATGGCTTTGAATTACTTGGACATCTGATAGGTGTGTCATTAACACACTGTGACCCCAAGATGCCCGTGTAAGTAACCTTATAAAATTGAAAAAAGACAACAGTATAAGGAGGGGGTACCGTGTTATTAAACACATACCCATCAAAATGGGTGGTACATTAAATAATTGTAAACACATGGAGTCTTTGGTGTCATTGCCTTTTGTAACACAAATAGGCGGCACCAAAGCCACACCAGTAAAGTTCATTTTTACAGTGTGTTGACACCGGTTCTTAGGTGATATGAAATGAAATTCCTTGCCAAAACCTGTGGAGGCATTTCCTTGCAGAATGACCTCAGGTGTTGTCTCTGCCCACGTACCTAGTCTGGGCCATGGTGGTTTTGTCACGAAGGCCCATCGTGTTGTATTTCCTGTCTCTGCTGCTGCTGTATTCTGTATCCCTGCTGACGATAATGACAAGGGGCACAGCTTGGTTAAAAGTTCTTGTAGTGCCCCCTTCTTATTCTTTCGGCTCCTGCGATTCCTGGCCGGCTTGTGTCTTCTTTTCAGCTTGCCTTGTCCCTTCTGAATGGATAACGTGGACATCCTTCGTTCTGACCCAGAATTCTCCATCACCTGTGAAAGTAAGAACAAACCCTTGCCCCCAGGTTAGCACTTGCCCTGGACCCTGCCAGACACCATCAACGTCTCTCCACATAACTTTCATATTGTGCTTAGGAGAAAGGAATCTGTTTGATTTAGTGGTGTCACTAGTACTGTTGTCATTTCCTGCCAGATATTTCATTGCAGGGGAGAGGTTACAACTATCGAATGTTAAATAATTTATAGTGTAGAGTGCAGTGTTCAATCGATGCCAAGGGGATCCCTCAGCTCCCCCTTTTTGCTTTTTGGAGCACCATTTTCAAGGTACGATTGGCACATTCAACTATGGCCTGACCACAAGGATTATAGGGAAGGCCAGTAGTGTGACTAATAGAAAGCTCAGTACAAAACTTTTTAAAACCCTCGAAATATATGCAGGACCATTATCAGCCTTTAAGTGTTGAGGTGGATCAGCGAAGGAACAACAGTGAAGTAAATGATTAACAACATTGCGAACGGCCTCACCCGCTTGAGCAGGAGCAAAAATAAAGCCTGAATAAGTATCAATGAAACATGAACATATTTCTGTCTTCCAAAAGGAGAATAATGAGTAACATCCATTTGCCATAAGGTGGTAGGTGTAAGTCCCTTGGGGTTATGGACATCAACATGGAAAGGGGGGTGAAAAGGCACACGAGTAGCACAATTTCACGTGTTTGTGATTTTGTTATGCCATATAAAGTTCTTAAAGACCTAGCAGATAAATGTAACTTATTATGACTATTCCTTGCTATTTCCACATTCATTGTTAAAGACCTATCAACAATATCATTACCTTCAAAAATTGGTCCTGGGGCAAGAGTGTGGGGACGAACATGCAAAACATAAATTTGTTTTTTGTCCTATTCTGTATCATGAGTTGTATAGCATTAAGCAGCTGACATATATTGTTATCAGTATTTTTTTATTACAGCAGTCTCTAGATGTTTTAGAATTCCTTCAACATATTTACTATCTGTGCTAATATTCGTTG